TTGAGAATAAACAAATGTAAACAAAGAGAACAAATAACACGAAATCAGAAAATAATTTAATACAATAATTTAAATATTTGCAAAACAAAACAATCAATTGATTGTCTTAATTTCACAAAGCAAATTTTGGGTATTGTTTTTGTTGAGAATAATGACGCATGAATGCATGAATATTTAGCATAATAATAATGAATGTTAAACGTAAATAATAAAGCACTAACGCTAATGAAATTCTTAAATTCTGTGTAGGGATTGGAACCGTGTCTAAAAACTTTTTGGAATCGTGAACCAGGAACCCGGCGGTTCTATGATAATCCTAATCTTCTATATCGATGTGTTCACGTTAATAACAATAAATAACGATTAATATACACATGAAACTAGATATAGCAGACTCTTGATATCACGGACAATAAGGAAAATTTCAATATAACGGATTATAATAAATCCTTCTTGATTTCTCGATATAACAGATTTCTGAATTATATAACAGATTTTTTGGAACAGATATCGAATTAAGAATTATTGTAATATTCAAGTTAAATTAACATATACATGTAAAAATTAATTACGTAAATTTTCATACATTTTGCACTATGCAACTACGGATATTTAATCTAACATCAACAAAAAATTTCACACTTCAAGTTAATAAACTACGTAATTACGAACAAGTATAGTACATGTGTTAACGTTAATGCAGATACGTACAGTATAACGATAAGCATATATAAGAGAGAACCTACAGAATTCAGTGTTCTGCCAAGGTTCTACAACACATCGCCTTCATTATAATAATGCAAAAGTGTAAAAGGATCTTTTCAACACGGAGCATAAATATTTCCATAACTAAGAATTTCTTTGAATAGCAATAGAAATGCATACACATATAACAATAGAATTTGGATGCAATATATCTTTGTCTTATTGTAATGTATTAAATAAATACTAGATAAAGAGCCTTATACACTTTCCCATGAAATATTTGTTCACATACGTAATCCATGCATATAATGATTATGGACTTTAAGAGACTTTTGTTACATTTGTTCAAGGAATGAGGTTCTCTGCTGTAACATTGGCTGTTTCCTTTTTCTTTTTTTCTTTTAACAAAAGCATCAATGATAATATTATAACACAAACACAAACACAAACTAAAACTTAAATCTAGCTAAACAACGGCATTTTGTCAATTTTAAAATATAAAGCACTACAACAAATTATAATAATAGTGGAAATCCTACTCCAACTTTTTTTGCAATGCAATCCCATAGATAATCATTATCGGATAATGCTGTGTTTGAGATTTGAGCATTAATGCCGAAATCTAAACATCATGAAAGAATTAGTGCTTCGATTTTATTTCTTGTTTAATGAAAAAGCGACTTTTCCATAAGTAAACGATCAACAATCCTTACAGTCTAGCCTAGTACTTAAACACAATGATATGGTATGCACACATTTCAAATATCTTTTAGGTTTAATTGCGATTGGAGGAACTATTGGAAGTAGTATTAGTCCGATGATTGCGAGTGCGGTAAATCGAGCATCACCTTTGCCTGATCTTTGTCATATGGCAACTTCATTGACGTCTGTTATTAGACCGTTTAGACCATCAAAAGGTTACAAGTTTACTTGCACCACGTAACTCCAAATAACTACTACTGTTCATTGCGTTACACTTTAAGCCTTATCAATGTCAACCTAATCGAAATTAGGGGAGCAAAATAGCTTTAGAGTTGATGAATGACAATATGTCCCACGTTATCCAATCGTTTTTAAAAGCGATCTTTGGTCACTAGTGCCGTGCCCTAATCATATTCTGAAGTGTGGTTATCGAAGACGACGAGGAGTCCTATATGAGATTACACTATCACAAAAAAACGTGTAACCATTCGATACTACAAATCAGCTGACCTATGACATATCCATCGTAGTTAACACCGACTACGTAATGCTAACCGTGCGCAATTGTTTTATCGTTATATATTTTAGAAAATTATGTTAACTATTCTCGATACACATAATGTAATAGAGTTTATTTTTTTTCTTGTTTCTTAATGTATTATCAATTCTTTCCATTTGAAATAGAGTTAACTAGTCCGTACGAATGTGAAGTTATTTTTCACGCAACTGTGTGTATGCTCTAAAGATTTTCCGAATATATCTTGCAATATACCAGTTGATCGCAAGCACGAAACTCGGTTCTCGGAAAAAAATTATTGTAGGTGATCGTTCCTTTAGGAAATAATTACCTCCAATCTTTTCTCTTTTTTTTTTCCTTTAAATATATGCATGTGCGTGAAAAAAAAATACGTAGTAACAAATTTGCTTTAGGCGAGTAATTATCGTTATATTTTAAGTACGTAGTGTGTGTCTATGGAATTAGATGATGCAACATGCAACAAATCTGTATAGGTGATTCCAGAAAGTTTGTGTATGTGTCACTAGGTATGCAGAGCCACTTTCAAATGTTGCATGACACTCGAAGATTTTGGATTAAGCTGTAGTACATGTAGTACGTACGTATTATTTAGGTTTCCCGAGCAAGTAGTTTGACCGAGCATGTCATTTTCAACTGATCTATTATTTTGTGGTTAATTTTTCGGTCTAAACATATGTACTCGTTCAGTAATTGAATTTTTTTATTGTTAAAATACACTTCATTTACAAAAAACGCCCGCAACTCTTTACCTCAATTATTCATTTTCCACTCGTTACTCTATGAAAAAGATCGAGAACTAATACAGATTAATCTATAGAACAAGGAAGGGAGAGCATACAAAAGTCCCCTAAAAATTTGTTGCAGCAAAGCAACAGCAACACTTTGTACAGAATCAGCCTTCGATATAAAAATTGCCGGATTGGAGGAAACACCCAAATGGATCTCATTTATTCTTGTAAACATGTTCTTTCCCCTTTAGCATTTTCTCACGCACACGTAATAATACAAATTGCCCCAAACATATAAATTGGTTTAACTAAATAAATCACAAATCCTGTTTGTAAAACAAGTCATTCTTTCGACCAGCATAAACTGATAAATCGATTTCGCAAACGCATTTCTTTGCCGTATATACCGTTTTCACAGTCGCCATTTGCTGAAGAAAAAAAAGTGATAAATGACATTCAATAACTAATCAGCCAACCGATAAAAAACCAAAGAAACCTAACCTAACCCTCCTGGTTTCGAAATAAACCTGAAATAATGTAGGTCAAAATAAAAAAAACAAAAACCTGATATATTGATTATCACGTGGCAAATAGTTTCACATAAATTAAATCAACATGGAAAAGTTATGCAGAAACATGGAAATATTGTGTGTACGTACGTATCGAGAATGCACGCAAGGAAAAATACACTTAAAATCTAAGTTAGGCCTCAAAAACGTGGCTAATTATTTAAGTTACATTTGTATGGTACAATATCGACCTATCGATTCAAGAAACCTGACTGCGGTGACCTCTCTCTATTACCATTCATATTACATATACATGTAGATTGATTTATGCCCATGCCAAAATATCGTGTGTGATACACAAGAAACAAGATTACGAATATTTCCCGGCAATTAATAATTTTAACTGAATCACATACATATCATTTCTCGTACCACAAACAAAAAGACCAAACGACTATTAAAAAGGAATAGTTTATTATCCATTGTTCTTTTAAAAATCGAAAGTGTAGAAATTTCTTATCTCTTTATAATATTCGCTTACTAGTACATACATTTTTAATATTCGTTTATTAGTACAAAAAATCTTCCTTATATAATATCTCTACCTTTTAATAGATTTGATTATTGTTATCAAATGGTAATTATTTAAAAGTAACACAATTGTTCATCTTTTCTTAACAACTTTTTTTTTCTCTTTCTCATTCACAGAGTAAATTTCACACACACAAATTATATTAAATGTTACTACTCTCACAATGTAACAATATCGATACAAAAATAAATACAAAAATAAATACATGTAGATAAATAAATAATATACAATAAGCGAGATACAGAAAATACGAATTTAGATACATGTATTAGTGGCCAACACACGGACACAAAATTCTTTTCTAAGGTAAGAAAATTGGGTTAGTTAGGGTGAGGTAACTAAAAGTTGTGGTAGTAGCGGCCGTAATAGAAATAGTGGCAAAGTGTTTCATCTTTAGAGCAACGCGTCCACATACCATAAATTATTCCCATAAATAATAATATAAATACTGGAAAAAATTAAAATCTTTTTTCAAAGTTACGTACTTTAAAATGAAATCCTCACTTTATCACAAAAGAAATAACAATAACAACAATAACAACAACATTAATAATAATGATAACAATAGCAATAATAAAAATAAATTAAAAACTACAACGATGATGACGACGACGACGAGGAGGAGATTGACGACGACGACGACGACAACTACTACTAATAATACTAATAGCAATAGTAATAGTAAAGTGATTACACGTACTAATCGATTTAATTCAATGTCTCCAGAGAGTAAAAAACGAAGAAAAACAATCTTATTAAATATTACGAACAATTATTACAACAAACTATCATCAACAACCTCTTCTGCTGGTGTTTCTTGCAACTCCTCTATAACAATTAGCAATAACGCAAAGAATATTTCAAAATCTCTCTCAATAAACAAAAACAGCAGCGACAACGTCATCGGCAATAATACCGAGAATAAAGCTCCGCCGCCGATAATAAAATCAAAATCCACATCGATAAAGACGAAAAAGACAACAATATTAAACAGGGTGAATAAAAAGCAACGACTAAATACAATGACTCAGAAAAATAGTCGACACTTCTATGAAGAGGGTGATTGCGAATTAATCGCCGAAACAACTTGTTTTCGTATACATAAAAATATTATCGCACTCTCTTCAATGGTATTCAAAGATTTATTCGCTAGTGTCACACCAACCCTTGATGATATGAATATTGATCAACAAACTGGTCGACTAATTCCGCGAATACCATTAGCCGATGAATCTGCCTCAAATATTGAAATGCTACTTTCATTTCTTTATCCGAATACATTTTTCGAAATTGATTGGGATTCTGTGGCTAATTTACTTCACTTAGCAGATAAATATATAATCGATACTTTGACGGCGGCTTGTGTCTCCTTTTTGAAAAGAAGTTTTCACGAACATCCAATGATCACTCTTCAGTTGGCTGAAAAATATCGAATTGCTCAACTATACAAAGAAGCTTCGAAACTTGTATTGAATTCTTTCGATCACATATTCTACGATCCTCGTCTGTTGCAAGGACTTTCAAAGTCAACTGAGACTAAACTCAAAGTACAACGACAAGAATATGTCGAAGGTTTAAATAAAATCTATTGTGTAACTGTTGATCGACAATTTCCTCCGTTACAAGCCGATCATCTGAGATCGAAATTTGAAGAATGCGTAAAAGATGTCTGCACTTTTCCACTTCCTGCACCTTCGGATACTTGGCGTAAATTACATCGAGTTGATTGTTCAAGACATTTCGAATGTAGAGAAGAATTAAGAAGGTTAAAACCATTTATTAGTGAGAAAATAATAATGATGTTTGGTCGATATGAACCATTATTATGGAAAAAATCATCTTATGATGATGATGATTTATGTTATCCTTTCATTGAATTAGATTCTTAACGTTAATAATATTGTATAGTTTAACTTTCCTAGGATCATTAGTGGATTATTTTCTTTGTACAGATTTATTTTTATTTATTCGGGGTAAATAGTTCTGTAGATAAATAATATAATGATATCATTCACGATTAACTCTTGATAGTTGATGATGGTGTGTCAACACATCACATGGTAGCGAGAGTTAACGTAGCATTTATATTTCAATTATCGTTATCGTTATTAATAAAATTTTTGAAGCCTAACGCTAATGCTAATCATAATACAAGTCCAATTAACTCGGTGTTACACTATCAAGTATGGTATGGTTAAAGCGTTACATGTACGTATTTGGTATATATAGATAAGGGTTACGTTATTGGCTCAAGATATAGAGAACATGTATAATATAAAATCTGTACCATACATGTGATTTTCCGACCATATCATACTTATTTGCTCGATCATACAATACTTATTAGCGTTAGCATATGCCGATTACCCTACGTTACATGTATCTCTAGTTTAACGGCTGACTTGAATTGATCTTCATCCATTTTCTATAAATTTGCACTAAATTCTGTTCTGCTTCTGTGTACGTTTTTGCACCAAGATCTTTATTTTTATATTCTTTGATTCATTATTTATTTGTATATCAATATATTTCCATGATGATGAGTTAATTCAATTTCTATTTCCTTTTTATTTTATCTGTATCAATAATTAGTTTCATCCAACCATTACAATGAAATCGTTGCATTGGAAGATAATATCTTCATGCTTTTTGGATTTTTTTGTCATTGAAATAATTGAGCACAGTTGTATCTGAAAGTGATAGCATTTTAGACATGTGCATATGTTTGTCACTATAACTATTAAAATATATTTATAATTAATATAACCAATATGTTTCAAAAAATCAAATAAAAAAGGCATTATTCAACTTACCTGAATTTGAATTGCATTATTTTGTAATGATTTCAACTATTTCCATAATTATGTTATTTCCACTTATTATAATATGAATAGAACT